TTAATTGTCGGTCTTGATCTCGAATCCAAATACGACTATTAATTGGATAATAATTGCTACTAATGGGATCATCAGGTATATAATGCCATGTTGGTCGATAATCACGAATACGTTCAAGAACCTGACGTTCATTACCATCAGTATAATATTTCTTTTCACTATTAATATCAGTATTGTAACGAATAATAATCTCTTTACCGATATTATCATCTATTGGAATCGGCCCAACTATCCATTCAATTTCAATTGCTGATGTATTACGATAGAGATTGAATTCTTAACTAGTCCACTCATTGAAAATAATCAAGGCGCTTTGCACGGTGTCTGTTTTTGTACAGTTTCTATTATTATTATTTTTCGAAATAAAATAATCTTTAAGAAAATCATTTATTAAACAGAATTACTCACATGCGATGCGCAACACTCACTGGTAATGCCTCTGAAAACAACGGTCGAAATATGTAAGCACCTGATGCTGGTGAAAATGGAGTCCTATTAGCATGAGAATAGCCTAGAACAAATTATATGAAAATTTCTACCATCTAGAACAAATCTAGATTAACGTCATGAGCAAAATAACTTACTAACATACCAGTATAAACCCTGTTCAGTAAAGGATACTCTCAAATTCTTTTCTAAATTGATAATGTGCTTCAAATAGCCTTGATTATTAAATTCCACACGTAAAAACTAGCAATAACAAAATAATCTATCCGTATAAGCATTCAAAAGTTATGTTCTACTTCGTTCTTCAGAATAAATGCTTCATTTGTCGTTGTTATCACTTTCTTATGTTCGATCTTCTTCGTATCAACTATTAGCAACAAACGAAATTTATCAATAATTTCAAAATAAAGCAACAGCCATCGAATGGTTCAAACTCTGGTCTTTACTTTCTTCTTCAAAATAATAGGTACTGTAATTAAGTGCTGGCAATGATGCTGGAAATAGATATTGATTTTAAGCAGAACTCATTCGACCAGGAATGTTTTTCGTTGTGTCTGGAATCATAAGATACTATAAAAGAAAGGAAAATAACGATTTCTCTTTTTCGCCGTGCATCATTAATCATGTACCTCTGCTGAAACAAGATTTCCTATTGGATCATAAATAAAATATTGTCTAGTCACGGGTACACGATAATAAATTGTTACTGGATGAATAGTTGAATTCCAAAATGTCAATGTGAACTACAAAAAGAATTTAGATAATCTATCATATTTTATCTCAAGAAAAAAAGAATCATTTCAAAACATTAATCATTTATATTAGTTTTGTAGGAAAATTACACGTACTTGTTTTTGTTCTTCAATTGGAAGACATGCACGAATATTCGAATAATGACAGAGAAATTGGTTAGGTATTGGTATCGTTCGATTTTCTTTAGACAATAGTTTTCCATAGGCATCATTGATCACTTCCTAAACAATACTTATTTCGTTTATTAAAAAATCATGTCATATGACATACTATTGCTCGATCGATACCATCGGAGAGTCGTTGAGCATAATAATTAGCTACATGTTGCTTTGATGTTCCACTAACTGAATCATGATGTTGAGCAAGTCCCATTGCTTCACCTGATTAATACAATTAACGATTGATAAATTAAATAAATCTATGTTTTTCTTACTCAAATCGAAAATCGGGTTCCGTAGATTTGATTGTGAAAATCCATTTTGTTGACGAGTTACTTGCAGAATATTATTAGCATAACGTTCATAACGTTTTAATACTGATCTTGAAGTATAATAACCTGTCCAGTATACAGATGGAGTACTGGCATATGGAAAGAAATCATCAGTTTTTGTTGACCATTTTTTTTCTGCTTTACTCAAGACATATAAATAGCATGATGGTGTTGAATAAAAGACGTTAATGCCACTACCATTCTCTTGCTGAGAATATAATTTCAGATAATGTCAATCAAAAATATAACAATGACATACCTGAAGATTAACATAATGAATTAATTTGTCTAAATTTTTGAAGTCTTCATGAGCATTCTGATCAAAAAAATCACTACCCATTGTCATGATGATATGGTTGGTGGCGTAGACTTCAGTCTGAAATCAATCAAAACAGAATTAGCCGGTAAAACTTCGTTTTAATCAAACTTGAGCTATTGCCGCTCCGATGAATGTTTCAACACGTTCAAGTACATTATAGTCATGCAAATTTTTATCATCCTAAAATCATTGAATTCATTAAGAAAATAAACAGTTTATAAACAATGACATACCATTATTGATTGATCAGAACAGGTTATATCAAAACAAAATGATGGTGGACTAAGGTAATAAAGCGGTAGAGTACCCGTGAAAAGCCAACTTTGACAATCTATGAACATCTTAATATGAAATTTTGAAGATTTAAAATGAAAGTTCTTTGTAGATTTGCGTTCTTTTTTCAGAAGAAATCTAATTTGATCAAAATAGTCGAAACAATACTAACCTAAATTAGGATTTGCTTGCCATACCATTTCTCTGGTCCTTTTCACAGAACAATCTATCAGATCGTGATAATCTGCACGTCGAAAAAAATAACCATCAAAGCCCATCTATAGAAAAATAATATCTGCATCAAATATCAGGTCTTGGAGCAAATGTAACCTGTGCAAAGAGTGAAGCAACTTCTCATGAATGACCAAATGGATCGATTTGCCAGCCAATTTTTGGGTCGTGCACATTCACCAATTGTATCATGCAAGAATTTGGCAACTAAACTATGTTGATCAATAATCGAATTGTAATGTGTTGTTGCTTCATCAATCATCGACCAACCGCCCGAAATAAACTCCAAACGACCTGTATATATATATATATATATATATATATATTTGAATATACATATGTATTAAATAATAGATAGATTCGACTGATACGAACCTTCATTGACTAATCGCTTGACTTTTTCACGCATATCGTCCGATTGTTGATTCCACCAACGCCAAATGAAAGCCATTTCAACATAGATAAATCGACGATCGAAATTATCCACTAATGCCTGCACAACTGAATCGAGAATATATTGAACCCCTTTTCGAGTAANTGATCCATCACAGATACTTCCTCCACCTTGGGATCGATCTACAGAATATTAAATGAAAAATGATTTTCGTTCGAAAACTGTCATTTACCAGTAAGAATGGTTAATTGTCGGTCTTGATCTCGAATCCAAATACGACTATTAATTGGATAATAATTGCTACTAATGGGATCATCAGGTATATAATGCCATGTTGGTCGATAATCACGAATACGTTCAAGAACTTGACATTCATTACCATCAGTATAATATTTCTTTTCACTATTAATATCAGTATTGTAACGAATAATAATCTCTTTACCGATATTATCATCTATTGGAATCGGTCCAACTATCCATTCAATTTCAATTGCGGATGTATTACGATAGAGATTGAATTCTTGACTAGTCCATTCATTGAAAATAATCAAGGCGCTTTGTACGGTGTCTGTTTTCGTACAGTTTCTATTATTATTATTTTTTGAAATAAAATAATCTTTAAGAAAATCATTTATTAAACAGAATTACTCACATGCGACGCGCAACACTCACTGGTAATGCCTCTGGAAACAACGGTCGAAATATGTAAGCACCTGATGCTGGCGAAAATGGAGTATTATTAGCATGAGAATAGCCTAGAACAAATTATATGAAAATTTCTATCATCTAGAACAAATCTAGATTAACGTCATGAGCAAAATAACTTACTAGCATACCAGTATAAACCCTGTTCAGTAAAGGATACTCTCAAATTCTTTTCTAAATTGATAATATGCTTCAAATAGCCTTGATTATTAAATTCCACACGTAAAAACTAGCAATAACAAAATAATCTATCCGTATAAGCATTCAAAAGTTATGTTCTACTTCGTTCTGCAGAATACATGCTTCATTTGTCGTTGTTATCACTTTCTTATGTTCGATCTTCTTCGTATCAACTATTATCAACAAACGAAATTTATCAATAATTTCAAAATAAAGCAACAGTTATCGGATGGTTCAAACTCTGGTCTTTACCTTTTTCTTCAAAATAATAGGTACTGTAACTAAGTGTTGGCAATGATGTTGGAAATAGATATTGATTTTGAGCAGAACTCATTCGACCAGGAATGTTTTTCGTTGTATCTGGAATCATAAGATACTATAAAAGAAAGGAAAATAACGATTTCTCTTTTTCGCCGTGCATCATTGATAATGTACCTCTGCTGAAACAAGATTTCCTATTGGATCATAAATTGAATATTGTCTAGTCACGGGTACACGATAATAAATTGTTACTGGATGAATAGTTGGATTCCAAAGTGTCAATGTGGAACTACAAAAAGAATTTAGATAATCTATCATATTTTATCTCAAGAAAAAAAGAATCATTTTAAAACATTAATCATTTATATTAGTTTTGTGGGAAAATTACACGTACTTGTTTTTGTTCTTCAATTGGAAGGCATGCACTAATATTCGAATAATGACAAAGAAATTGGTTAGGTATTGGTGTCGTTCGATTTTCTTTAGACAATAGTTTTCCATAGGCATCATTGATCACTTCCTAAACAATACTTATTTCGTTTATTAAAAAATCATGTCATATGACATACTATTGCTCGATCGATACTATCAGAGAGTCGTTGAGCATAATCATTAGCTACATGTTGCTTTGATGTTCCACTAACTGCATCATGATGTTGAGCAAGTCCCATTGCTTCACCTGATTAATACAATTAACGATTGATAAATTAAATAAATCTATGTTTTTCTTACTCAAATCGAAAATGGAGTTCCGTAGATTTGATTGTGAAAATCCATTTAGTTGACGAGTTACTTGTAGAATATTATTAGCATAACGTTCATAACGTTTTAATGCTGGTCTTGAAGTATAATAACCTGTCCAGTATACATATGGAGTACTGGCATATGGAAAGAAATCATCAGTTTTTGTTGACCATTTTTTTTTCTGCTTTATTCAAGGCATATAAATAGCATGATGGTGTTGAATAAAAGACGTTAATGTCACTACCATTCTCTTGCTGAGAATATAATTTCAAATAATGTTAATCAAAAATATAACAATGACATACCTAAAGATTAACATAATGAATTAATTTGTCTAAATTTTTGAAGTCTTCATGAGCATTCTGATCAAAAAAATCACCGCCCATTGTCATGATGATATGGTTGGTGGCGTAGACTTCAGCCTAAAATCAATCAAAATAGAATTAGCCGGCAAAACTTCTTTTTAATCAAACTTGAGCTAATGCCGTTCCGATGAATGTTTCAACATGTTCAAGTACATTATAGTCATGCAAATTTTTATCATTCTAAAATCATTGAATTCATCAAGAAAATAAACAGCTTATAAACAATGACATACCATTATCGGTTGATCAGAACAGGTTATATCAAAACAAAATGATGGTGGACTAAGGTAATAAAGCGGTAGAATACCCGTGAAAAGCCAACTTTGACGATCTAGAACATCTTAATATGAAATTTTGAAGATTTAAAATGAAAGTTCATTGTAGATTTGCATTCTTTTTTCAGAAGAAATCTAATTTGATCAAAATAGTCGAAACAATACTAACCTAAATTAGGATTTGCTTGCCATACCATTTCTCTGGTCCTTTTCACAGAACGATCTATCAGATCGTGATAATCTGCACGTCCAAAAAAATAACCATCAAAGCCCATCTATAGAAAAATAATATCTTCATCAAATATCAGGTCTTGAAGCAAATGTAACCTGTGCAAAGAGTGAAGCAACTTCTCGTGAATGACCAAATGGATCAATTTGCCAGCCAATTTTTGGTCGTGCACATTCACCAAATGTATCATGCAAGAATTCGGCACCTAAACTATGTTGATCAATAATCGAATTGTAATGTGTTGTTGCTTCATCAATCATCGACCAACCGCCCGAAATAAACTCCAAACGACCTGTATATATATATATTTGAATATATGTATTAAATAATAGATAGATTCGACTGATACGAACTTTCATTGACTAATCGCTTGACTTTTTCACGCATATCGTCCGATTGTTGATTCCACCAACGCCAAAAGAAAGCCATTTCAACATAGATAAATCGACGATCGGAATTATCCACTAATGCCTGCACAACTGAATCGAGAATATATTGAACACCTTTTCGAGTAATTTCTCCACGCGCTAAAAGATCAACTCATTAACTAATTCATGGTTATCTTGCAAATTAAACCATAACTCACATCCATAATAATATTGATCGACTGTTTTTAACCAACAAACATCGTCGTGCGTATGAGCGACAATATGAACATTAGGTTTATCAGATTTACCCAAGTTACATGACTAAAATATATGACTATATATCTCTTTCAAACACTTGATATAAACGCATGCTTTCTCACATCATAACCACACCCGTTTGATAATTTGTATGGTGCTGCAAGACTTTGTATCACAATAAAAAGAAGAATCGCACAAAACTATATCATGTACATAATCTATAAATGTTTCTCATATCATTGTAATATCAATGGTGGTAACAAACTTCTTACTTTCAGATGATACTCTCTCAAAAAATAATAGAAGTTGTGTGTGCTTCAGCTTGAAACTCAAAGATAAGAATGTTATTTATCAACTATTAATCTGTACCACTCATACTAGGCAGGGAGAGATGATAAGAAACACCTTTCTTCAATTCTATCAACATGATGAGCTCTATCTTGTAGTATATTTAGATTTCTAATAGGCCAAACCATGTCATTGAAATCTGCAAATACTGGTTTTTCCACTAGTATGAAGAATCTGATCATAACATTGGATTGTACCTATTGAATCGTACTTAGAATCAAAATAGACAAGTTTACAACAGCTGTCCAAGTCAAAAAATCAGACATAGAATCTTGTAAGATCTTACTGCCTGATTATTCGATTTGAAATTTTTCTTAAATAAAGTATTTTTTTTTCTTTTAAGAAATGTACATCATTAGAGTGAATATTGATAAATAGAAAAGAAAAACATTTATGTAGCTTGGAAATACTTTTCGTTTCTACGAACTGCATTTAGTGGTGATAGACACATCAAAAAAATCATTTTTTTCTTTGTCTTATCAAAACAGCATCACTCATTTTATAACTCTATTTTAACCGATTGGATCCAGGTGACGAGAATTCTTGTCCTGAGACTTTGTGCATTGAATACCTCTAAAAAACATGATCTATTAGTTATTTAATGCTATGAACTCTATGAATATTTGTGCAGTTAAGATCATTTATACTTACTGATGCTTATTGGTTTTCCTTTGATATATCATACAATTAGTATATCATATACATAAATCAGTTTGCTAACACTTCTCGAGAAAGGTGGGGGTGTGGGTGCGGGTATGGGTATGGGTGTGGGGGGGGGGGGGAGGGGGTGGGTGTGCGCGGCTTGCTTCTACCCACACCCACACCCACACCGATTCTGTCTTCATCTATTTTCTATCTCAATCTTCACATTTTTACACAGACACTCACTATATTAAAGCTGAATAACAACAAATTGGGGCATACTGGAGTACAACATCTTGTTATGCATTAAAAGAAAACAAGGTTTTCTAATTCTCACAATATCACTGTTAAGTCTTCTTATGCATTATCTAACACAGACACTAACCGCATTCCATCTTTCTTCGAATCAAATCAAAGATGTTGACGCACAATACATTGCTGATGCTTTACAAAATAACACAGTGACTCTCATTTTTATTTCATTTATATCTTAGGACATCATGCAGCTTTTAAGCCAGACACTCATTACAATAGATCTTTCACAGAATTTAATTGGAGACAGTGGAGTACAACATCTTGCTAATGCATTGGAACGAAACAGGGTGAGTATAATTTTTCCTTCTTCTGTGTTAAATTACCGTTTGGAATTTTTAACATAGACACTCATTACACTAGATCTCAACGGCAATTCAATCGGAGACAAAGGAACAGAATATTTAGCATATGCATTCAAATTTAATACGGTGATATTTATTCTTTTTTTGAAGTCTCATACATCTTTACGTACAGTTTCTAAAATAGACACTCATGACAATAAGCCTTCAAGGAAAACTTTGGGAAAAAGGTGTTATTGGAGATCTTGGAGTGGAATATCTGACCTCTGCATTACAACGAAACACGGTAATTCCAAGGGGGAATCGACACTCCGGGATCCAGGTACTCCGATACTCCAGATGAAACTCCGGTACTCCAAACGATACTCCCGTACTCCGATACTCCAGATGAAACTCCGGTACTCCAAACGATACTCCCCTACTCCGGTACTTCGAAACATCAAGTGACTATTGGCTATCTAGCAAATTATTAAGCTTAGAATCATACTTCGTTAATTTCCCAACAAGGTTTTGTTTACACAAGAATAGTTTCTTACGACAGGAGATTAAGTCAAAATGAAAGTTCAGGCGGTCACATCAAAGTCAATATGCTCAAGTCTAGAGCAGTGAGGTGATCCAATTTATTCCGAATCGCAAATCCTTTGAATACATGCACAATTCCAAACATTGAAGAATCCTGTTGAATTTTTGAAAGACTTTTAAGGCTTTTCCAAGTTGCATCGTATTCCTAGGGGCACAAGTGTACTGTATATAGGATGTTTAAGTAATTTGAAAACTGAATAATTAACAGAATCATTGTATGAAATATTCTGATATTGTAGAATACAAGAATATTCCAGAGATCATGTTCTCTCCTTCAAAATAATCCTTCGTATCTACATTTTCTCTTATGAGAACCAGATACTAAAGTGCTGGAGAGAAACAAATTCATATTGCTAAACTTTTATTTAATTTCGAAGGAAAAAATTAACATCATTTTGCTTGTGTGACTCGTTGTGTTCGATCCGCGGAAAGTTTCCGATTTTGTTCAGTTAGAATCCAACAAGCAGTCGATTTGTGAATAAACTTATCTTTATGATTGATGCGCACTTTGAAGTACGATTGTAATAGATGAGATGGAACGTTATCACACACGCGTATTGTGCGAAATGTTGGTTGTAGAGAGTCTGGATCATCATGGTATCGAAGAATACTAATTACATCGTCGTCATCATTTTCGTTGTCGGCTTCCGATCCATAGACTTCCCAATCATCATCGTCATCATCAGCGTTTTCTTGCGAGAAAATATCGAGTATTTGCTTGTCCTCAAATAACACTCGAGCATAATTATTAAGACCAACGATATCATATAATTTGTTTTTACTCAAGACCGTCATAACTCCAACTTGTTCAAGATAATTCGTCGCTTTATCGAATGCTCGAACAACAGTTTGTTCGATCTCTACTTGTGTTGGTAATTTCATACGAGGGGTTTGACCGGAAGATAAGTAATCATGTTTGTTTTTATGATGAACTGGGAAGCGTAATATAGGAGAAGTGACTTGTTCATGTTGATTTTTAATCTTTTGAAATAGAGATAATTTCTCAATAAGATTTAAAAACTGAAGAATTGTGAAATTCACACCAGAAGAAGAATTGGACGACAACGCACGTGCAGAACGAAAGATCGCTTCGCACGATTGTGAATGAAAACTATCAATACAGAGTACTTCTTCTGGTAATTTACCTTCGATCACCAGGAGTATTAAATAGATTAAACAATGTGCGTTCAGTTCGATTGAATAGACCGCTTGTGGTGTTAGAAAATATTGTTGAGCGCTGTTTTTCGGCAGGTGATCATACTCGTTGGAATGTCTCGTCAATTTAACGAACAAATTGTCCAATTTCTTTTTACCCATCTTGTCAATCCATAGAAGCCAAAGACGAGAAAGAAAAACACTTGTCCAAGCGTGAAAAACTCTATCCAATAGTGACGTTGATTTGTCGATGTATGCGTCGATTATGGAACGAAGTAATTTGATATAGATCATCGTTGCGTTTGAGTTATCAATATTTTCAAGTGCTTGGAAGATTTCGTCACGACTTATTCTTACACATGACGCGTAATTTTGATGGTCGCGGGGATTTAAATCAGAAGAGACCAAGCCATGGAATAATTTAGATGATGATGATAAAATCTGGCGTAAAACATCAATTGATACAAGCTGATTTCCCATGAGCAAGGTTGCTGTCGAAGAAAGCATTCTGTTGCGAATCTTCGTTGCTAAGTGAATCGGATCCTAAAAGTATCAAAGAAGTAGAATGAACTCTTTTTATTACCAAAGAAGGTAAAAGAAGTTGCACTTTTCAGTATTTTTACAACTACAGCATGGAAAACTCAAGAACGATCTGATATTTTTCTGTTCTTTTTTCTTTTTCCTAATGTCTGTATGATTTCGTCAACGTCAGATATTGTTACCTGAAAGACGACGAATAATTGTGTTGGATCGAGATAAAACCAACTCCAGTTGGTAGGCAAATCAACTTTAAAAACATTCGGATGCTTGCGAAGATCAAAGTTCGGAAGAGATGCAAAGAAATTCGTCACTAGGCGCATAGTACGTAAATATCGTGTGTCACAGTCTGTTGCAAAACCTACGATTCGAACGCCACGCTGAATAGATTCATCGAAAATTTTTAGCCACCGACTGATTAGATGATGTGAGTCAAATTTATTGTCTGTTCCATAGGCAGAAACAAGAAAAGGCGATGAACGTTGACCTTGAGGAGTAATTGGTTGTATTGCATGTACATTTAACAGAGACGAGAGTGTTTCGGTTCTGAATCTTGTTTCAAGATCAGAAAATGATTCGATTCGGAACGATAATGGTCGTGGAAAACCATTGTTCTGAAGCGGAGGACAGAAGCCGACGAGCGAATTTGACTGACGGTCGTAGCACACCTTTTGTATAATTCCGGTGCAATCCTCCGAAGCAAACGCGTACTTGACGTTCATTGATTTTAAGTAATTTTCCATGGAGTCGAAGCGAAATTCACCTTCCACAAGCTGTTCTCTATTTTCGTTGAAAAGACTTGATAATGTTGACGGACAAGGAAGACTGCCTGGTAGATTGATTCTAACGAACTCATATGCTTGTCGTCCGCCGAGGACGTAAAGAACAAATGCGAACTGTTCAACTAGGTGAGAGTATCGATTATGATGCGGTGATTTCGTTAGATTGTTTGCCATATTTTCGATAAATGATGATAAAAAGCTCAGATCATCTCGATCCTCTACCGACATTGAATTTTGACAAAATATAATGAGAGACTTCAGCCATGGAAAGCGCGAGAGAATAGCAGTAGATACAAGAATCGAGTCGTCAGATCGAATTGTTGTTTGTTGATGTTCAGCTCGATGAAGAGCTGACATAAGAGAGTCTACATCATATTGAATACCAGCTTTGATCGTCCACGTTCCATTCTTGTCGTAAAAGGCGGCTAGTCTCTTAATGGCGATGAGATTGGAATCGTCAGAATCAATATGAATAAAGTCGAGAAGATTTCGATGAGAATGAAGAAGAGAATGAGCAGATGAGAAACCTTGCACACGAGCAAGTTCTTTTATTTCAATGCTGAAGGTTGTTTCGAGAAAATCGTAAAAGGTATTTCCTTTGAGCATAAATATGTTCGATGGAAGACAAATGTCATCTGTTGCCATGATGGTTTCAAAATAAAAAGTAGACACGATGATTGAAGGATATTCACGTCAATTGAACGACTGATATCACGGAAATGATTGGTTTCAATAGTTGTATTAAGTTTAGTAACTAACTAATTGTTTATACAACCGTTGAGAGATGAATTTTGATAAAGATGATTGCTATCTAAACTAAAAATAGACAGTGCTTAAGTCAGAATATGATCTATTTCAATCCTGTTTTCGAAAATATAATCAAAGTTTGATCTAGTTAATACAAAATTATGAAAAAAACATTGATGAAATAAATGTATAAAAAAATAAAAAACGAATAAGACAAAAATAAGCCTATTGATTTTGAAGAGAATATCAATAAATATGATCACTGTTGATAGATGATGAAGCCAAGTCTAAAGAAAAGATTGAATTTTATATACTTTCTTTTTATTACTTTTCATTATTATTCCATACTTCGCCTTACTATGATGTTCGATGCCGCTTGTGTTTTGAAATCGAATGGGATGAATTATTAACTGATTTTGTCAACTGTTGACTATCTTTAATCGTTGTCTTTGCATGAAATCGATTTGATAGATTAGAAGAACGTGATGAGGAAAACGAGGCAATCGAATCATCATCAATATCAGATTCTGTTCTGGTACGCTTTCGTTCGATAGCTGTACATTGACCATTTTGAGTTAGATGCTTGTAGAAGTTGCTAAGTTGATAATGTTTTCGTTCGTTCGGCATTGAAATATAAATTTTTTTATTGCAACAACATGTTATAATTGCTGACTTGTCATTAATAATAATCTGATAATCATCAGGTTCAGCAAGTACATGGTTTTCAAGATCATATTGGTCTCGAGTCTTCTCCCACCAGGATTTAATTTTTTGGTTAAGATAGTTATGATGATCGATGGTAGAGAGGTCAGCTGTTATGGATGAGTCGATTGGAAGAGATGATATTTGCATTGTAGTTGAAGGAACTTGATGAAGGAGATTATTTGTAGCAGTAGAGTTGCCGGAATTGATTCGTTTGTTTTTTTTTTCATAAATAATGAATCGAATAGTTCTTGAAGATAACGAAGATATCCATGAACACCAGCTAGAACAACATTCTTGCCATCTATCACCTTGAATGAAAGACGAGTTTGAAGCTGAATAACGGATGGATCATCGCTGTTTATATCGAAGAAAGTCAAAGGATTCGTGTTCAGAAAGCATCGAGCATTTGAAATTTTTTGTATTCTAAGTAATTCTTCAATATCTTTGGACGTCAGTTCTTCCACAAGTGAGTAGAATGCGTCTCCTCGCAAACTGAAAACGTTTGTTGGCACGACGGAGAGATCAATAGTAGCAGAAGATCGAAATTGTTTGTTGAATAACCGAGGCATAGTGATTACGAAAACGAATTATGTGTTTTCAGGGTAGAGAAAAGATGAATCTGATGGATGCCGTTCATGTTTGCTCTTATATCCATCGTCTGACTGAACATTTCGGACGAAAAAAAAGAGAATAGAAGAAAAAATACGCTTTCGCACTTGTTGAACGCATGTAAGAACAAGTGACGAGCGATGACAAAACACTATTAGCTTCAATGATTCCAGGGTCCTTTGAGCGGTTACTACCCATGCAAAAAAATAATAAAAAAAACCTGATTTTTAATCGATTATAATCATACAGTTTTTAATCAATAATTTACATAGAAATAATCACAAAAAATCAGTTTTTTTATTTCATTTGATTATAGTCGATTTTTTTTCATCGATTATAATCAATTTGAATAAAAAAACTGATTTTTTTGTGACTATTTCTATGTAAACTATTGATTAAAAGCTGTATGATTGTAATTGATTAAAAATTATATTTTTTTTTATTACTGAGGCTAAGTATGTTATCGTTTATATGCTCCAATATTCCAGTACTTTTGATGGTACTTCAATATTTCAGATCATACTCCAGTACTCCGGTCATACTCCAATACTCCAAGCGATACTCCAGTACTCCGGTCATACTCCAATACTCCAAGCGATACTCCCGTACTCCGAAGCAAACTCCGGACCGTGTTTCCATACTATAAACCCTATTCGAACATTCTCGACCGAACTCCATCACTTCAAGAGCCTTAAAACATTCGTTACGGATCCGGAGTCTGTTGATTCCCCCTTGGGGTACCTTTATATCATCATATACCATATAATGGGAATATCCTTGAATCATCGTCTACTCTATAGCGTGGGTGCCGTTAAATCGTCAGCTGCTATATAATAGAAGCATCCTGCCCTCACCAACTAGTATATAAAGGAGAGCCCGTACAACAATGCATGCAATATATTACACCACCGCCCGTATGCCAACGTAGGCTATGTCTCGGTAGTACTCATCTGTCTTCATCAAGTATATAGCTTGGTTACAAATCTTTCAGGGATTCGATAAAGAAGTATGAATAAAGGCGCATGGGGAACATGAGGAAGTGTGGAGAATTCATCAGCACCAATTAAACGGTTGGAATAATCGGCTTCGCAATATCATCGCGTAGTAGTCTGTGTCTGTGTTCGTGGCGTATGTAGTGTAGCTTCTCATAATCTTCACTGGATATCTAGGAATAGTGACTTAATGCTTGTAACAGCTTCAAGAAGACATACTACATGACGCTGCAAGACCCATTACTTGATTTTTACTAGCTCGAATGTGGCTTTAATCAATGTGGAGACTGGCATTCTTCACCATTAAACAAAATCGTTGTTCTCATTGTTGCTTTATACATTATCTTCATGACTATCCAGGCTAATCTGTAACCATTTAGCTTTGGGCCCCTTAATTGTGTCATGACATTTGGTCTTAGTAATTGTTAACAGTCACCTACTATTATTGTGTGATTGGGTGTTAAAATAGTATGGCCTGGTAATATTACTTCTATTCTTAATCGTCTCTATTTATCCAGAAACCTTTCGGAGTCCTTGTACGATCGAAAGTTGTAAGCATTTTCTCAAGTTTTCGACAGGACTCTGCCTTGACTCGTGATAAATCCTGCTACTACTTGGGAATATTTTAGTTAGACAGATTCATAATAGAATTTCTTCAACTTTCCACTTCGACTTTTCCTAATTCCTCAAACAAGGTGCTTCCAGGATTATTACTGATTCTTCCGAGGACCTATTAGAAGAAAAGAAACGACGATTTTCTCAAGATTTTGTCAATTTTTCGTCAGTATGCAGACTGGGGTCTTCCTACAAGAATTCATTCTACTTTTTATATAAGTCAGCAAGGGCAATTAACAGCAAAGGCTTTGGAGTATAGGTGTAAGGTCTTTTTTAAAACTACAGCACTACCCAAGTCCACACATATCCTGATAGAATCATGGTTCCAGCCTTTGGAGGATGTTGAGATTCTGTGGCAACACTTTTCCTACGACATTCGTGTGCGCGTGCCAAGATACTGGAAGAAATTTGATAACAATCTTGTCACACCCTTAGGATATCTTGGGGCAAATTATGTCAGAGTTATCAAATCGCGTAGGTGCAACGTTTTTGTTTTTGATCGAGTGACTTTCTCATGAAAAAATATATGAATCTCTAGAGGATCTTTGACTTAGACGAAAAATGTTGAAAGTGAAAAATGTCTNGACTCAGTTTTTAACGCTGATTCTGAATCTGATATTAGTTTTGAACCGAATCATAGATTCGTATACTAGAAAAGTGAGTACACTATAGAATAGTCAGTGTGTCCGTGCGTCCGGTTGGCTGTTCACATGATAACTTTTGACAACAGAGTCAGATTGCGATGAAACTTTCTACAAAGCTTAGTCTTGACAATATCTCGGTCGAGTTTGAAGGTGAGAAGGACCGGCCAAGCCGTTCCTAAGTTATTCCGAAAATGCCCATTTTTACCTATAGCTTTCTGTGGAAAAAAGACCCGTCGCGGCTTTCGTAAAAGAGTTTTCCTATCATAGCCAATTAAAATCCCAACTATTCTATACAATTCGATAGAGAATTTTAAGAGCTACAAAATGATCTATAAAACATAAAGAAATAAGAAGGTTGACTCACCTATCGCAAGAATAATTAAAGAGAACTGGGCTATATTTTGGTTCATGACCTAATTGATCCACAAATAGAGCTCTATCTCCCGATCACAGTGATGATGTTTCGATGTTTTCAGAGATGGAGAACTCGAATGTGTATTGCACTCCCAACGTAATACTATTGGTTGTGCAGTGGCCAATAGAAATCAGGTGATAGGAATAATGACTGTTTTAGGGTAAATCAAGGGAAAGACTTCAAACTTGAGCTGTGTTCGATCCCAAGTCCAATTGGTTTGGCAACGCTCAATGAAAATCAAAATTTGAAATGCTAGTTTTCCCAGTATAATTCTGATGTTCAGACATTCTAGGATGACTGATTCGTATGATCCACTTTTTGAAGTACAGGGTTGCGTAAAATGTTTTGCTAGGGGGTATAGCTCTAATGGCAAATGATATCGATCTTAAATTGTATACCAAATGAAAGCTCGCGAAAAATGGGGTTAACAGGTACAGTTAGTAATCTGATACAGTATTGTCGCATATATAGAATGAAGTGAATTTCGAAAATTTTACATAAGAGATTTTTTTGGACTGTCATGATTTTTACTTTTGTTAAGGTCACAACAGTTCTCTTTTTTTATCGAACGTTGTTACATCAACACAGTATCATCTTAAGCACCACTCGACACATATATACCTCTCTTCTCTTGCGTTCTGCTGACTCTTATCTATAACATATACTTATTCTTTATTCTTCTTACTGAGGTGTTGAGGTGCATTTCTCTCGCTGTTTCATTCTTTGATATTTTATGCCTGACACGTACAGTTTCTTCCTTGCATTCCTATTGCACATGACGTCAGGATTTCTCTCCTTCGATAGATTCTCTCTGAGGAATCTTCGAGCAGTTTCTCATTTTTCACTCTCACTAATATATACCTTCGAATACTTATTCCATTTATTGTTGTAAAATTCTATTAACGTTTCACAAGCATCCATTTGTTATTTATAAACTTTCTCAATTTGAAATTCATTGATTTAACTCGCATAATGACTGGAACTTATGACAACGAGGAACAGAGAATCATCGACCGAGTAAAATGTATTGCTTTTCGCGAGGCTCGTGAAGCTGGTGCTGCATTCATAACCCTACACTGGGTTGCCGAAAAAGTTCACCGCTCAATACGATTTGTTTCTCAATGGTGGGAAAGCCCCTATGATGAATGTTTTGCAGATTACTCAGCATGTGGTCGTAATCTGAAGTTATCGGAAGAGAGTCAAAACATAATTCTTAAGGCAAGCGGCAAACAAAGAAAAAGTTGCTCCACCGTAGCAAAAGAAATCGCCGCGAGACAGAAGAAGTATGTTCACCGAAGCACAATCGATAATTATCGACACAGAGCAGAATTGAAGCCTTTTCATGTTATTCAAAAGCCTTTGAAAACGGAAACTCACATTTCAGATCGTTTATGGCTTTGTAATTGGTTAAAAGACTGGACTCAAGAAGATTTTTTGCATCTTGCACCGGCTGATGAGTTTTTCGTTTGGTCGGTACGCAAGCCGAATCATCAAAACAATAGAGTTTGGGCCAGATGTGTTGAAGATATTGAAAAGGATCAAAGACACCGTGAGATGGTAAAGAATCAAGCATGCATCGGCATTTTTGTCATTTTCACCGCCAAAAAATTACATTGGGTAGTGAAAGATAAAGGCGAATCCTGGACCGGTCAATATTTTCGTGACACAATTTTAGTTCAACACGTGTTTCCTTTCTTGAAGAATGAAGAAAACGTGACTGACGTGGATGAAGTCGTATTTGTTCATGATAAAGCACCGTGTATGAAAGCAAATAGGACTCAACAATTAATACAAGACAACAATATCGATTTTTGGGGTAGCAATATTTGGCCCGGAAATTCACCTGATCTGAACGTAGCTGAACACATTGGA